ACTGGGTGAGGAGGGGCAAGGGGGTCCATCTCTCCCTGAGCCACACCACCATATGACAGACAAGTAGTGGGGCAAATGTTGATCCCAGTAGCAAGAATAAGACCACTACACAGTTTAAAGCCAAATTTGAAGCAAGCTTTAATTAAATACTGGCCAGGTGGGTGGGCTCTGGCCAGGTCCATACCCAGGTTCCTGGGAAATGGCCCAGAATCAAGTATGGCAAGGGCTTGAGAAGGATAACCCATAATTCATCGAATTTCCCATCAGGTCCAATCCAGGGCAAGCATAGACATCCTGAAGTTATATCCAGCCTGTGCCCCCCCCCCACACGTGATCAAGCACATCTGGTGCAGATGGGGAGTGAAAACATGTGGGTTGTTATCGCACACAAATAATAGCCTCCAGCATTACAGGAACTATCTGTCCTTGGGCAAGGGGCTTACAGATCACAGACATTTTTGCTTCATGGATCTCTAAGTAATTAAAACTTAAACTCTAACTTGGGCTCTCATACAAGCTCTCCCATGCTTATGTTGTGTGAGCTGGTTCAACCCCCGTTCCCCCATCGATAGATCCAGCTCTACTATGCTGTCCAGGCCAGATCCATGGTCCACTGTGCAGCCCTAACTGTTTGCTCTTTTGTGGTAGCAGGAGCCATGGACATCAACACAGACCGCTGTGGCAGGGTCATGGACCCAGATGTGACACTTGGCAGCAGCCCAGGCCAGGACATCATCATGGCCCTGGGTGGCAAACAGGCCACCCACCTCAGCCCCCTCCTCACCGCCTTCACCTATTCAGATCTGCCTCTCTCCACAGGACATAAACCATTCTGCCACCCCCCTCTTCCATAATGGTGCCCCGGGCAGGCTTGTGGATCTTCTCCTGCTCAGTTCTTATGGTATCAAGCAGGCTCCTGTTCTCCACCCTCCCCCCACCTCACCCCCGTTTTCCTGGATTTCTTCATTTCCTCTTTAAGGACCTCTGTCATCATCACACAGACTGTTTTAAGGTCGTTTCTGTGAGCTTCAGCTATGTTGGAATACTCAGGGCCTGCTGCCGTAGGGTTGCTGGGCTCTAGTGGAAACCTATTGTCCTGGTTTTTATCAATTTTTATTTTTATGCTGGCATCTAGGCATCTGGGATTAGGAAGCTGGTAGGACTAGGTGATGGTATCTGGTTTTGTCTTTGTTGAGTGAGTGTTTTGTTCCTTGGGTTGTTTCCTCAAATTTTAGGAGCGTGTGCTGCTTGGTAGGAGATTTTCTGTGGAGCTGATAGGTATGGCCTCTGGTGGTTCGAGGTACAATGTGTTTCTGGGTATTGGGAGCCAACACTTAGGAATGGGGATGGACTAGGGGCCTGAGGGTTCACAGGCGGAGGAAAGCAGAGTGATCCACCAGGATCTGTTTATTTGATCTCCTTGGGATGGGAGTAGAGAGTGAAGGCAGGTTACCTCAGAAGGTCTGCCATAGACCCAGGGATGAGACTGGGGAATATCTACAGACAGCCCACCTGCTTCCTTGGCAGGGCAGGGAGTTGGGGGCTGGGATAAAGCAATGGGGGGGGTTTAGGAGGAGGAGGTCCGTGGGATCCACAGGCAGAGAGGGAGGCTGCAGCAGGTGCTCTGTAACAGAGCTAGGGATGAGACTGGGGGATAGGGTTTGGAGGAGAGGGGGGAGTAGTGAAGGTCTTCAGTTAGCTTTCCTGTTTCCCTGACCTGCTCAGCTGGTATGTTCCCAGGGAATCCCTGCTGATGCTGGAAGCTGGGATGAGGAGGGGCACGGGAGGCTGGAGGAGACCTTTGTGATCCATTGGGAATGGAGTCAGAGCAAAGGGAGACCACAGCAGGTGTTCTGCTATAGAGTTAGGGATGAGAATGGGGACTGGATTTGAAGGAGCAGGGGAGGTGAAGGTCTGCAGTCAGCCAACCTGCTTCCCTGGAAGGAATCTGACCAAGGCAACTTATAAAAGAAATAGTTTCAATTGGGCGTATGGTTTTGGAGGGCTAAAGTCCATGATGATTGAACAAGGACATGGCATCAAGAACAGCTAAGAGCTGTTCTTGCATCTTAAACTTTAAGAGAGAGAATGCTGACGACAGCTGGAGTCTTTTGAAACCTCAAAGCTGCCCTCAGTGACCTCCTCCAACAAGGCCATACCTCCTAATCTTTCCCAAACAGTTCCACCAACTGGGGACCAAGTATTCAAACATGTGAGCCATTTTCATTCAAACCACCATATACCACAGCTTTCTTTCCTTTAGTTATGGCCTCAATATGTAGCTCAAGCTGGCTTCGATTCCTGAATGCTGGGATTATAGGTGTGAACCACAACTGTCCTTTAGGTTTAAACGAAGCCCACGCATCAGTAATGGTGAGAGATGAGCAATCCTAGTTCCATTGGTTTTATTCTTGTGGAACCTGTCTTCCTTTTCAAACTTTAATGATTTATCTTGAAAAGAACTTGTTTTTGTTTTTTTATTGAAATAATAATCTATATAAACCTGACAATTGTGTGACATAACACATAGGAAAATATAATTAAAATTAGCTCTAGTGCAAAAGGTTTATTAAAAAGCATCTAATTGGGGCTGGCAAGATGGGTCCAGTGGGTAAAGGCACCCCCCCCAGCCTGACAACTGGGGTTCTATTTCTGGAACCTACACAGTGGAAGGAGACAACTAACCCTTGAAAGTTGTCCTCTGACTTCCAAATGTATGCTACAATGTGTCGCCCCCTTCCTCTTTCTCCCCCAAACACAATACAATAAATAGAAATATTTTTAAGTATATAATCTGATATTGGAAATAGAATTTGTGAGATCACTGAGGTCAACTAAGTTTTACTTCTCTTCAAACTTGATTTCATATTTAATTTTATCTAGGACTATTCAGAAACGCTTCACACTTGAGTGTTCCATCCAGAGAACTGTTCTTGTGGGGGAATGAAATGCACAAACAGGCTCCCAGGGAGCTTAGTTGGTCACTGTGGGTGACCAGACTGACCTTCCAACTCCAACCATGCTCCACAACCTAGAATACTCTCACCATTGCTAGTCTCCTGAACTTTTAACACCAAGGTTTTCAGAATGTCTATACTCCATGTGTGAATGTTGCAGAGGACAAAGAAGAGGAATCAAGGATTCTAGCTAGAAGGTGTTTTTGACAGGTGTGCTGAGAACAGCTTAAATGAGCAACAGGATGGTGGCTTTCTCACATCGACAAAGCACTGGAAGTGTTTGTATTCACCCTGAGCACATCACGTGTAGGGCCCTTTCCTAGGCCCTTGAATGTGAGGGGACAGTCACGAAATGGTTACAGATGACACCATAACTTAGATGGCTATTTTTTATTTTGAGGCAGGGTTTCTCTGTGTAGCTTTGAAGCCTATCCTGGCACTCGCTCTGGAGACCAGGCTGGCCTGGAACTCACAGAGATCCTCCTGCCTCTGCCTCCCGAGTGCTGGGATTAAAGGTGTGCACCACCAACACCCGGCTAGATAGTTATTTTTAAAGGGTCTTTAATAGCTCTCAAATGTCACAATACATTCACGTTTTGTTGTTCTTTCATGTCTCCTTTCTTTCTAGAAAATGGGGGAAGGGGGTCTTCAGATCCAGATGCTATGCACTGGCCAGCAGGTTTCTGAAGGTAGACTTCACATAGCTTCCAGGTGCTGCAGCCCAAAGCTACCAATGGCTTCCTAATCTAAGACATTCTAATCGGCCCCACTGTCTTGTAAACACAATTATTTTTCATAAATGTAGTGGGTGGACCCAAGTACTAGAAACAGTAGGTTGTCTCATTGAAAACAGTCTTGGAATGAGGCCTCTATTAGAGACAAAGAGTGCTCCCTAATTGATTAGAAAGGGCCTTACTCTTGCTTGTATGGCTATGGCTTCCAGGACTAAGAACCAAGAAGTTTGTTCTAGTTTTTTCCTCTGCATGGACATGAGGTCACATGCACATTAGTTATAACATCGACATCATGTGCCATTTTAAAATTCCACAGCTGTGTTTACCCTTTTCCAGAATTCCAGTAAATATTCCACAGACCATCATTAGGGTTTTCCTGGGCAATTGATGGTAGGAGCTGGCCTGCTGTGTGTGGACCCGCTAATGTTGGCCAAAACACCCGGTGGATGGGAAAAATAAGGAGAGGGACACGGAGGACACACCTGAATTTGGACAGAAGTTTTTCTTGACTTATGTTTGTCTTATGTTTGTTTGAGACTGGAACTTGAACTCTTGGGCTCACCTACCCCTCCAGCTTCAGCTCTGAGTAGCTAGGCTGCATTTTCACTTCATCTTTTCATGAAATTTGCAGCACATTTTTAAAAGCAGTTTTAAGAGCTGGCAACTTCACACCTCTTTGTAGCTATCGGTGTATATCTTACCTTTCAGCAAAGCCACAGTTACTTTTGGGAACAATTAGCAAGGAAAAGAAACAGGGAGATACTATATTACCACCAGGTGGCAGACGTTTAGTCTGGAAAAAAAATAAAAAACAAAAAACAAAAAAACCCGGCAGACCCCAGCTCGCTGTCAGGTGCGGAGAAACGCACGGTATTTAGGGTGGGAGTCACTCTCCCGTGGCTCGGAGGTCAGTGGGGAGGTCCCGTCGATCCGTACGTCCATCAGGCTGTGTGGTTGAGCCTCTGCACCCCCGGGAAGTGTGGTTCGAATATTCGGAGACGCCCGATGGCTCCGCGGACCCCCGAATGCTGGCCCCGACTTCCCGACCCCAGGTCCACTCCTGGCCCCGCGGCGGAGGCGCCCAGGCTAAAACCTGTGGCCTCGGGCCGCCGTCTTCGGTGACTTCAGGCGGCACGCTTCGCGCGCGCGTCGGGGCCAAATCCTCATCTTCATTTCGCTCCAGGCTCGGAGGACTAAGTAGGCTCCAAACCGCACAAACAGGAAGGAGGGAGGGCCGGGAGTGCGGGCAGAGGGCGGGTCGTTCCCAGCAGCGCGGGCGGTTCCTCCCCGCTCGGGTCCCCGACCCGCGGTGCCGGGGCGGGGCGTGCGCGTCAGCTGGGGCTAGAAAAGGCGGCGGCCGGGTCCGGCGAGGTGACAGCCCAATTTGGACGCCTTGCTGGGCCGACGCCGCCATGAGCGCCGCGCTTTTCAGCCTGGACAGCCCCGCGCGCGGCGCACCCTGGCCCACCGCGCCCGCGGCCTTCTACGAGGCAGGCAGAGCGGGCAAGCCGGGCCGCGGGCCCGAGCCGGGGGACCTGGGGGAGCCGGGCTCCACGGCCCCTGCCATGTACGACGACGAGAGCGCCATCGACTTCAGCGCCTACATTGACTCCATGGCCGCCGTGCCCACCCTGGAGCTGTGCCACGACGAGCTCTTCGCCGACCTCTTCAACAGCAACCACAAGGCGGCCGGCACGGGCGGCCTGGAGCTGCTGCCCGGCGGCCCCACGCGACCCCCAGGCTCCGGTTCGGTCGTCCGGGGCCCGCTCAAGCGCGAACCCGACTGGGGCGACAGCGACGCGCCGGGCTCCCTGCTGCCCGCGCAAGTGGCCGTGTGCGCGCAGACCGTGGTGAGCCTGGCGGCCGCGGCGCAGCCCACGCCGCCCACGTCGCCCGAGCCCCCTCGAGGCAGCCCAGGGCCGAGCCTGGCGCCCGGTCCCGTCCGAGAGAAGGGCGCGGGCAAGAGGGGTCCGGACCGCGGCAGCCCCGAGTACCGGCAGCGGCGCGAGCGCAACAACATCGCTGTGCGCAAGAGCCGCGACAAGGCCAAGCGGCGCAACCAGGAGATGCAGCAGAAGCTGGTGGAGCTGTCGGCCGAGAACGAGAAGCTGCACCAGCGCGTGGAGCAGCTCACGCGGGACCTGGCCGGCCTCCGGCAGTTCTTCAAACAGCTGCCCAGCCCGCCTTTCCTGCCGCCCGCCGGCGCCGACTGCCGGTAACGCGCGGCGTGGGCCTCAGAGACTCCAAACGACCGATACCTCAGACCCCGACGGCCGGCCCGGAGCAGACGCCGCCAGAGCCGCTGCAGTTTCTCTGGGATGTGCGAGCGACCGGAAGCTGCAGCTTGGACACTGGACTGCGAGAGGAGCTATGAGTCTTCCCTTCCCCCCTTAAATTATTTTTATAATGGTAGCGTTTTCTACGTCTTATTACCATTGCAGCTAAGGTACATTTGTAGAAAAAAGACTTTCCGACAGACTTTTGTAGATAAATGGAAGAGACTGCGCATGCTTTTTATATCACTTTTTACAATATTTGTAAGAATAAATAAGCATTTAAATCGCTGCAGCTTCCTATATTCAGTCTGTCCCGCACACAATGTGCTGGGACCGCAACAGGGAAAAGCAGGCACCTGGGAGCCAAGGGACCCGGTGAGGTGCCCACACGGGTAAGGAGGTGGATCAGTTAGTTGGCTTGCTTTGGAAGCCTGGCAGAGTTGGCCTCATGCTCAGTATTGCCAGTGGAAGGATCATGGGAAAGCATGGCTACTCCATGTTAGGTGGAAGGTGTGATGTGATCCCAGGGTGTGCAGACCTGGGTTGGGGCTGGCCAGAGAACAGCTGAAGGGTGAGAGGGTGGAAGAGAGCCCGAGAGTCAGAAACCGGATTCGTCTTCACTTGTGTGGCTTTGCTTTCATTTTCCTCAATCCTAGAGACATTGTGTAGATTTCAAAATGTGCACCAGGACAAATTCATATGGTAGTATATAAAAAGGACAGCTCCCAAAGCCGTTAATTGTAATGTTTGAGGGCTTAATAAAAAAAGCTTTTCTTCTAAGAAAGCCATGAGTTAGGATCACGGCCTGTTGTTACTATGCTGCTGTACAGAAGAAAACAATATTCAGGGTCCAAATACGTAGCTTCTAGTAATTTAAATCCTGTCCAAAGCACAGGATGGTTGCTCGCTGTGTGTGACAGGCATGTGGTGGAGCAAGCTACAGAAACCTGTTTGTTAATACAAATCTCAACACACCAGCTCATCCACATTGTATGGATGACAGTGCCATCTCTGGCAGTCCCAAGAATACTAAAACCACAAAGAGCATGGGTCGAACATTTATTTATTTATTATACAAGAGCAGCAATATCTCAATATGAGATACTGGTTGAAGCTTTACAGAATAGTCTTCCAGGGAACATTAATACCACAAAGAAAAAAATGTATAAATATTGGTAAAGTCTTAAATACTTTAAAGTTACAACAAAGAATACTCCTAACAAATCAATATTTCCTTAGTAATGCAACATGAAGACCACAGAGACACTCAAGCTTTAGGAACATGTCCTTAAACTTATAGGAAGGTAAGTTAAAAAAATTGTAAGAAAGGTATTTTGATTTTTAATTTACAAAACCATCCTATTAATCTATTTGCCAGGAAAAAAAAATCCATTGAATTCAAAACCGTAAGAATACTCTGTGGAGTTAACACGGCTCCCCAAATCAAGCCCCCACTCTCTGTGCAAAGTTCCCGGATGTCAGGAAGCTAGTTGGTCGGCTTCTCCTGCACCCAGAAACTCAATCTCCTCCAGGGTGACGCAGCTGGTCTGCTGTGGGGTGATGGACTGCACAAAGCAGAGTAAAGGCCCCAACTCCTTCCCAAGGACATTCTTCACTTCAGAACTCTGCAGTGGTAGAAGCATGCAGGTTAAAACACAGTCCAAGACTTTGCACATTCTGTCCCCAACAACAATGCCAGAGCCAGGGCAAAGGCCCTTCTATAAGCTGCAACCTTCCTTGCAATGGAAAATTTTTGGGGGGTGGCTGGGTGAGGGTGTACTATAAAAGCCCCCTTTATTATAGCAAACAAACGAACTACTTTATTTATTCTCATAGCTGAGTCTTGCTGTTTTGTGTCTGCCAGGATAAAGTGGCCTAGGACAGGATTTGGAGACAATGTGCAGAGGAAATGCTATCCTTTCGTGGGGGGTGAGCTTTTGCATGTCTCCCACTTCCTTTGGGGACACTTCCCCAATCTAGCAACACTTCTGGTCAAAGGATTTCCTGGTGCTTGCCCCAAACTTCCCTCTTCAATTGGATTCCATTTCTTCTTGAGTTTCACAGGGCTAACATTTCTTTTTGTGCGGTGGTAATGTGACTTGAATTTTTATTCACAAAGTTAATCTTGGGAAAATTTCATCTCCAGACAGAAACACAGGTGCTGGGCAACAGGATTCCTGTCCCTGTTGTACCCTGTCTGGGCTTTTACAAATTCAACTTCAGAGCACTTGGGGTGGGGGGGAGACTAAAAAATGATCTTGAGGCTAAGACTGATACTGCAGGTGATGGTAAGCGTAGCTAGCGCCCTGATCTGTCCTCTGCACAAGGCAGCCGACATCCCTCCAGCATTTAGTTTTGTACATATGAATTTAGACCACTTATGGTCAAGGTGTTAGGGCCAAGGAAATGGACAGAAAATGTAGCCAACATAGACTCTGGCTTCTGGCATTCTACTTATGTCCTTAGTGTCACCCCAAGTCTGGACTGGCCACAGTGACTATGTTCTCGTGAGCAGTGGAAGGGACAGTGATGTCCTAAGCTTAGAAAAGGTGGCCAGCCCAGTCAGGCACTATGAGGAAGTTGGGTCAAGAGCCCTGGCTGGGGAGGCTTCTGTGACTGCAGCCCTGCCTTGAGGGTACCAGCAGATGGAGCAGACATGAACCATCCCAATGGAGCACAGAAGGGACTGTCTGTGCACCAGTGCTGGATGTTTTGTTTGTAGAGGATCAATCTGGAATATGAGCATAACACATGTTGACTCAATTTCCCAGTGGAGTTTGCTTCTTTGTAAAGTTTTGGATTCTTTAGTACAAAGTGAGCAAGGTCTACAGTGTGGGCCATAGTCTGATGGGAAAAAGAACTGCTGAACAAGAGGAAGATGAGAGAACTGGCAGGAGGCAGGTGTTTCACTGCAAGTTCCCTGTGTGGACAGCAAGCTCACGCTGCTCAACAGTGAGATCTGCACTGAGCACCAGCACACGATCAGGCTACCAATAGTTGGGGGAAGGATAATGGAAGAGGGACAGCTAAGTGATCTTCTGTGTCTCTTACTATTTTCCTTAACAGATGTTTAAGTGTGAAAAAGAAGACCCAGGCTTTCCCATGTTTTTCTCTAGTAAAAGTGTGCATCTTTTGTTTTCTTTTGAGGCATAGTCTCATACCATGTAGCTCAGGCTGACCTTAAATTCCTGATTCTGCTGCCTTACCTCTCAAGTGCTGGAGTTACAGGGGTGGAACTGCATGCTCAGCTCATAAGTATGGACTTTGGATTTCATAAAGGTCAGTAAAAATCATTTATGTTAATATATGGACATAGTAAAAATCATTTCTATGTAAGATGTATTTTGGGGAAATTAACAGGGTGGATTTAAAACATTCACATCAGCAAATTCATGCACTGTCTGTGAGTATGTATCTGTATATATAAAAATGTGTCTATCTGCTTTTAAGTATTTATTCATTCAATTTTGCATCTTTCTAAGAAAATGTGACAGTGCTGGGATTGAATCCAAGTTTTTTCTGCATGTAGGCAACTACTATTCTGCTGAGCTACAGTCAATTCCTGTGTCTATTGTTTTTAAAGACATAATGTATGGGTGCATTTTCTGAAAGTTGAGGGTACAGATTTCAACTCCACATCACCATAATGTCGATAGTGAGAAACAGCAAAAACAACAGTAGTTAATCCTGTTGCTTTCACATTCAGTGTGACCACAGTAAACACAAACAATTTAACATTCATGTACCTTAACCGAAAATAGTACATTTGTTCCAGGGAATGCTTTATGGAGAGCCCCTATTTCATTCTCTGGATTTTGTGACTGTTCATTCTCACCCAGAAAACCCAGAGTCTAGAGTGGGTGATTTGTAGCTGTGTCTGCACATAGGCTTCGACAGCTATCTTTCGTCAGGCTCCACTTCAGAACAGAGGCAAAGGTCCTGCTGGTCACTGAATGGAGCTGTGGGCAGTGTAGAGCTTGCTAAAATGTGCTCCAAGCTTGGCTTGTCCCCTTGTCCCACTGATGTGGACTCTGAAACTAGAGCAACTACAAATGTGACACCAAGGGCTATCTATGACCTCCCTGTGTGATTTAACATCTGTGCACATGTATGTACAAGTATGCACACACAGATGAATGTATATGCATGTATAGCGTGCAAGTACACTCCTCATACACAAGTGCACGCACTCCTGCACTCCCACACACAGGAACACATGCCCACATGCCTTTCTAAGCCCTGTCAGTAGTTTTTCAGCTACCAGAGCATTGTGTTGAGAAGTCAAGTGTGTCAGAAACAATACACCTCAGTAGGAAATCAAAAAAGGAGGATTTCTGCCGGTGTTCCCTGGTGTCTTGATCCCCAAAGAGGTTTGCCTTACAGAGGGCCACCAGACACTGCCTTTGTGGGACATCAGTGTTCATGGTGGCCACTGAGTCAGAGGGCAGACATCAGTCTGTATGCACCATGGATCACAAAGTAGATAGTGATGGTTGTGGGTCTTAGGTTTGTTTATGTAGGGAGGTTGGGTACATTTTGTTTTTCACCTTCAAGTAGGACTTCTTATGCTTTACCTCAACTTTCTCCACAGGGTATGTTCTCAGAAAGCCATGATCCACTGTTTTGTTTTTGTTTTTCCTTGGTTTTTCAAGGCAAGCTTTCTCTGTGTAGCTTTGGAGATGATCCACCTTCTTAAGCCCCCACCTGAGTACCTACATCCCTCTGGAAACCTCTAACATCAGTTTTGGTCTTCTCCTGGTCCAGCATCATCCATTGTTTCATCTTCCCTTCCATAAAGACCAAAAGGCAGGAGACTGATTTCAGCCAGGGGACACTGCTTTCTGTGCCCTTTGAAATACTGCAAGTTTCTTCATGTCCCTGTCTCATGCTTCTTATGTGGGATAACTACCAACTTCCAGCTGTTCCTTTCTGCAGGGATAAAAGCTACCTTGTTGGGATGTCTTTGTGGTGAGTCCCTCATGGAGAAGGACAACAGTTAGTGAGGACCATGTGTGAGCAATGCAATGGGCTGGAAATTCTTAGTCCATGGTGACTGGTGATTTTTACAGAATAAGA